AAATTAAGAATATATATATATATATATATATATATATATATACATATATATATACACACTTTTATCTCTCCCACATACTTATATAATTCAAGACATATTTGTTTATTATTATTTTCTTTATTTGTTCAAGTATGCTTGCATTTTATATAATATGTTTGATCCCTCCAAAATTTATATCAATTTTAAATCAGATGACATTTCTTTTAGTAAAAAACCGAAAAAACCGAAACCGAACCGAAACAAACCGAACCGATCAAACCGTGGTTCCAAGTTTTGGAGTGTAAAACCGAATCGAAACCGAACGAACTTTTACTTTGGTTCAGTGTTTGGTTTTAGGTCAAAACCGAACCGAAAGAACCGAACCCACCCCTACATTGATTGAAAAAAAATGTTGATTTTGCAAAATAATTTGGAATGAAGGTAGTACTGCGTATGGAGTAATAAATAAAAACTTCATTGATGAGTTTAAGAGACGGTATGGTAGCACTATTTTATGAAGTTCTGGTTGAAGTTATTGTATTGGCTGATTGTGCGGATTTATGAAAAATTATATTCAAAATATTTGTTATGAATAAATAAAATAAAAATTATATGAAAAATAGAAAATATGATCCTCTGCAGTAACTTTAGCCAGAAAAGTAACTTCAACTTTATTTTTTCTTATTATTACACAATTCACCGCGCGTAATCAAAAGTGAACTATTTAGTAAAAAACCTAGCTGAAATTTTTATAAATTATGTTTCTTCTAGAATACAATGGAATGGAAAAGCTATTATTGTTAATGATATATTTTCATATATCATTCCCACAAATATAATGAATGAACATGATGATAATGAACATATATCTATTGACGAATGTCGTCGTTAGATATAAAGACCGACTTGTAATCCAAGGTTTTTCTCAAATGTCAAGGATCGATTATGATGAGATGTTTTCTCCAGTCGATGTGATAAAACAAAGCACATATCGCCAAAATTATTATCTGCTCATGATCTTGAGAATGAAGGGAGAATCAACATTCAACAGATTAACTCAAGTGAAAATTTGACTAATCTCTTCAACAAGTCATCCATGCCTCTGAATAAATTTAAAGAACTTGCATAGAAAATAGGCATGTGCCATCACGGGAGAGTATTTGAATGTAGTACACTATATTTTCCTTTATAGGGTTTTTATCCCACTGGATTTTACTCGATAAGATTTTTAACGAGACAGTATGCATGTCCAAATGCTATGACATTATAAGTCATACTCCTGACCCCTTAAATTTTATTTTTTCACATTGACGTATACTTATTCAAGGATGAACATTCAAATGAGAGTATTGTAAAATTCTGAGAATTACAAGTGTGAATTGTCATCCCTGTAACCTGGCTACTCCTCAAATTCTAATTTTTGTAATCAGGACACCGATCTAGTTTCAACACTTGTACTCAGTCAGAGGGCTAGATTCAATACTGCCAGCAAATTATGTAGAATTATTTTTAGATAATTTATTTAAGAGCTTGATTAGTATTGGTAAGGCATGTACAATTCTTTGTAAACCCTTAGCTTTCAGAAAATTTCATTATAAGAAGAATAATAATATCCGCGATTTATAATCTATATACTGGAGTATTTATTATCTATGAAATTTGTTCTTCATCTTTTTCATTTTACAACATATGCTACAATGTTTTCTATTTTTTGTATATATTTATAGATGGCATGCATTACTTTTGTATATTCAAGGAATTTTACTAATACGGAGATCAAAATATATAGGATTCAAATGTTTGAATACTGTGAATCAAAGAGCTAGGTAATCGAAAATTTATTTATTTTAATTTTAATTTTTTAAATATTACGTAGTATTTACTTGCATTTAACTAATAAATTTTTGTGAAAAGAAAAAATCATTAAAACTATCAAATAAACTAATAATAATTAAATAATTTTTGTAGGTCTTTTATATTTCAGTCATTAGAATTCTATATTGACGCAATTCATCTTTAAGATATCTGATTGATGGTTTATTTATGTTTCAATTGTATTATTTATATCAAAAGTTTTAAATTTATTAACATCTTTATGAAACCATAAATATATTTACTATTCGGCTGGTAGGATTGAAAGAAGCTAGGTTGCATTACTTGCAGAAGAGAGATGTTTTAAATTTGGTAGATTTACCCATAAGGTACCATACTTTTGTTCACATGGACAAATCGGAAAGTTGCAGTTGAATTATTTAAGTCTAAATTAAAAATGATATAGCTATTTGGACCAATCAAGTGAATGGTAGGTAGGGCACTCATTTTTTAAATGAAGTAGTTCTCACCTTAAATGTAACTCAAAGCAATGACTTACATAGTTACATGCATCATCTCATAGCTGATTCTCACATGGCCTCAACAGGGCATAATCCTTTCTATATTAGGAAAATGTACTTTAGTAGTAGCCAATTTTTAACAATAATACTCCTTAAACTGTGGCGGGCTAAATTGATCAGAGGTCAAATTTAAACGACCGCCGGCGCACAACAGCACAAGTAAGTGGCGCCCGCCGCCAGGATGGATTTGTTTTTTTTTTAATTATTTTATTTGTCTGCAGTTCTAATAATTGCCAATGACGCTATATATTTAAGTGAAATCCCCAATCTCCTTTATCCTTACCAATAATTCAGAGCACAAAACGTTAATCACCCAATTCAAAGAACTCTGTTATCAAACGATTCAAACCAATGGATATCGTCTCCAACCTGTTATCTCTCTTCCTCTTCATTTCTTTCATCGGTTTGGTTGTAGCAGTGTCCACAGAATGGAAAAGGAAGAGGTCCTTGTCATCCAGAGGCACGAAGCTGCCGCCCGGACCGTGGAGGCTTCCACTCATCGGAAGCCTCCACCACCTCATCGGCGCATTCCCGCTCCGGCGATTAAGAGAGCTTGCCGAGAGACACGGGCCCCTCATGCACGTCCAGCTCGGAGAAGTCTCCGCCATCATCGCCTCCTCCCCTGACATGGCGAAGGCGATCCTGAAGACCCACGACCTCGCCTTCGCCTCCCGGGCAAAACTCCTGCTCCCGGAGATCGTCTGTTACCGGCGATCGGACATCGTGTTCTGCCCGTACGGGGATTACTGGAGACAAATGCGTAAGATCTGCATCGTCGAGCTCCTCAGCTCGAAGAACGTGCAGAGCTTCGGCTCCATCAGGAGTGACCAGGTGTGTCGTCTCCTAGAAGCCGTTACCTCCCACAACGGCCGACCGGTGAATCTGACTGAGCTCGTGTTCCAGTTCACGAGCTCAATGACTTGCCGGTCGGCGTTTGGGAGCATTTTCAAGGAGGCGGACGACTTCATCACGCTCATCAAAGAGGTTCTCGCCCTGCTCGGCGGGTTCGACATTGCGGACATATTTCCGTCTCTAAGACTCCTCCACGGCCTCAGCCCAATGAGGCGGAACATCCTCCGGATCCACCGGAAGGTCGACGGCATCCTCAACGCCGTCATTGAGAGTCACAAGAAAAGCCTCGCCGCGGGAAATAACGGGAACGGGGAGTCTGGCGGCGAGGACTTGATCGACGTTCTGCTTAGAATGAAGCGTACCGACGGGCTTCAGTTCCCAATCACCGATGACAACATCAAGGCGGTTGTGTTTGACCTTTTCACCGCCGGGACGGAGACGTCGTCGACGACCATCATTTGGGCTATGACTGAGATGCTGAGAAGCCCAACCACACTAGCCAAGGCTCAAGAAGAAGTCCGAAAAGCCTTCATAAACAACCCTTCATTTGACGTAAAAGACGTGGAAGAACTCAAATACGTCAAACTGGTGGTCAAAGAAACTCTCCGGCTCCACCCGCCGACGCCGCTGTCAATCCCGCGGGAGTGCATGGCGGAGACGGAGATAAACGGGTACACCATCCCGGTCAAAACATGGGTCATGGTCAACGTCTCGTCGATAAGCACTGACCCGGCTTACTGGGAGAATGCGGAGAGCTTTGTGCCGGAGCGGTTCGAGAATAGCGGCGTTGACTTTTTGGGGAATAACTTTGAGTTCCTTCCTTTTGGGAGCGGGCGGAGGATATGTCCGGGTTTGACCTTTGGTCTGGCCAATGTTTATCTTCCTCTGGCTAAATTGCTGTTCCATTTTGACTGGAAGCTGCCCCGGGAAACAGAGTATTCTAGGAGCTTGGACTTAACGGCAACGCCGGGGATTACTGCCGGAAAGAAGGACGATCTTTACTTGGTGGCTACACCATACGTTCAAAATTCTTAATATTTAAAGTTACCGCGGAAATGGTAGTACCGTTAATAGTTGGAGCAATAATGAAGGTCTAATTTAATTTGTACTCTTTTTCTTTGAAGCTTAATTTAAATTTTTACACTAAAGTATACTTTATAATCAAATTCCATCATAGAGTTATAACGATTTTATCCATTTTATATATAATCACTACACTTCCTTATAATAATACGGAGTAAAATCTTTTTTTGCCCCCAAACAAACTACCAGATGATTTGCAGTTTGTCTTCTAAATATGTACCAATCCTGTTATACTTTTGTAGTGCAGAGTATACATTAGCCACCATCTTGCAAGTATAAAAATAGAACATAATACATGAAGTTTTGGAACTTGTTTTCGTGTTACCTAACCATATAAAGCATTCGGGCAAGTTGCACATACTATTTTTTTTAAAGCAAGGTTAACATACTATTAATACACTACTACACATATGAGATGTATAAGTATACATATTTAACATATATTAATATTAATAGACCTCTATAGTCCTACACTGCAGATGGAGTATTGACATAACGCGGCTCAACAAGCTCGAATTTGGCAGCCGCCGTCATCGGCTCACGGCTATGCGGCTTACGCTGGTTACTATAGTCCAAGCTTTGGTCCATGTAGATCTCCCACCACTTGCTCACAAGTGTCTTCATGTCCTCTCTGTCCATGTGATCTTCTTTTCCGGTGTACATCCACGGCTTGGCGCCGTCGGCACAATAGTGAACAACTTTGGCTTGGCTGAGGTGCACTTTGTCTGGATGGCGCCACAACATGTTGACCATCATGTTGTACACGCATGGGATGAGCTTGCACTTGTCTTTGAAGAACATGTTTAGGAAGTCCTACAATGAGAAATGCCTCTTTTTTTAATAGCAAGCTAAGTTGGGTGAATGACGATGTTTTCATTTGGACTAAAATTTGTGGTCTGGTCTGATCCAGTCTAATTTGGTATGAAAAATGTATGGTCTCTGTGTATTTTATAACTACTTTTTTCTACGAATTTCCAAAAAACATCCTTAATATGGAGTACGTGTTAGTACTTTTTTGGTCATCAAATTACCCTCAATGCACACTTTTAACCTTTACGAATTTCCAAAAAACATCCTTAATATGGAGTACGTGTTAGTAGTTTTTCTACTTTTTTGGTCATCAAATTACCCTCAATGCACACTTTTAACCTTTAAAGGGGTGTTTGGATCTGATTCTTAAAATTGTTTCTGCTTCTTCAGTGAGCAGAAGGAGAAGTAAGGAAAAGTTGGAGTGTTTGGATGAAAGCGCAGAAGTAGTAGTTTTTCTACTTTTTTGGTCATCAAATTACCCTCAATGCACACTTTTAACCTTTAAAGGGGTGTTTGGATCTGATTCTTAAAATTGCTTCTGCTTCTTCAGTGAGCAGAAGGAGAAGTAAGGAGAAGTTGGAGTGTTTGGATGAAAGCACAGAACTACTTCTGGTCCTCTAGTTTAGTCTCTCCTTAGAAGGAGTTATTTTAGTAGCTGGGGGACCTACTTATGAAAACTTATTATGCTTCTTCTTTAAAAAAGAAGAAGATGTAGAATCACTTCCAAACACTCTCAAAGAAATAAATCTTAACTACTCAGAACAATCCGTTGTGTTCCCACCACCATCTAAGCAACTATATATAATATAGAATGAATTCATATAATTTGAAATTAAACACAACTGTTTTCGTATACAAAAGTGTAAAACGAGTATAATATAAGATGTAGATAGATCTGTTAATGATGAAGCTAAATTATTAAAAAGAGGATCGGAAGACTTTTAGTATCATCCTTTTATATATTCAATCATGCAATTATAAGGTGTCTCTTTTTTGTAATTATTAAAAATTACGGCATCACAATTGAGGCAAAATTATTAAAATTGAATAAGCCGTTTTATCTCAAAACGGATCAAATTTAATTCGTACCACTTAATAAAGGATGAAATGTATGCATGTATCGATACAGAACTCAAATGGTAAAAAACTATCAATTTAGGACCCGAATAATTGAATACTATCAATTCAATTAGTTATGTTAAATTAAAAAAATTGTAAAGATAAGTTTATCAAAAATTAGCAATGCAATTAATATTATCTGTCATTCGAGTCATATACGGATACATTTCATCTTTCGAATCCTGGATTGAAAGTTTATTTATCTTCTAGGTCCTGAATTGATAATATTCAGGATTCGAGGAGTGTTTACCTGCTCTGCGAAAGCAGTAGGAGGGGTGGCTTTGAAAGTCTTCAAAAGCTGGTTGTGGGTGGAAAGGATGGGCTGGAACACAAACATGCCTCCATTGAAATAAAAGGCAGGCCTGGGCCCCAATACTTCGGGCCAGGGGAGCGTCTCTGGGCAGGGTGGCCCGTCTTCCTCACACACACAGTCGGGAACTGCGTATAGATTCCCATCCGGTAGGTCAAACAGATGATCTATGTTTTCGAACACTTGCGTGTCCGAGTCCAAGTATATCATTTTGCTGTATTCTGTAAACTAAATAACAAATAAACAAATAAATGAATGGGTTTTTACAAAAGTATTACTCCCTCCGGGCCCCGTTCCATTTATATTGTCCTGTTTTATCTTTTCGAGAAGTACCACTTCAATTGTCTCATACCATATTTGGCAAAGTTTGTGTGGCTCTAAATCATTCTTACTTTATTCTTACTTTATCAATTAATATGAACCACACAAACAGTTTGTGTGACTCTAAATCATTCTTACTTCATTCTTACTTTATCAATTAATATGAACCACACAAACCCATTTCCCAATATAAATGGGACGGGGGTAGTACTAAAATAAAAATTATTTACATAAATATGATTAATAATTACTACAATGTAGCGTCATGACAACTTTAATTTAAAAATTGAATATAAGTTATCAGAAAAGATCAGGTCCCTTCGGAGGGACGGGAGGGACCGTCCGAACTTTACTGTTTGGGGCGGTTCCCGGTGGAATTTTTTGATGAAATTGTTTGAGCATGTTCCTCATCAAGTCTAGTTTGTCCATACCAAATTTCAGCTTAAAATTCGACCGGGAAGGCAGTCAAATAAATTCTTGAAGCTTACTGCACATTCTGCGCATATATAAAGTGCAGTAAGTTTCAAGAATTTATTTGAATGTCTTCCCGGTCGAATTTTGAGCTGACATTTGGTATGGACAAACTAGACTTGATGAGGAACATGCTCAAAAAATTTCATCAAAAAATTCCACCGGGAACCGCCCCAAACAGTAAAGTTCGGACAGTCCCTCCCGTCCCTCCGGAGGGACCTGAGCAGTCCTCCTCTATAAGTTATTATGATTTCATTACTACTCTAATCACTACTCACATTTTTTTGTTTCAATCATAATTGTGTAATTATTTCTATTTCATAAATAAATACGAACATTAATTAGCACATTAGATGATTAGATTTCCAAATTGAGTTGGAAATTTAACTTTTTAACTAGTCCATTAGATTTCCCAATTGAATTTGAAATTTGACTTTTTATGATTTGGTAAGTTCATTGATGTTTTGGTAACTTTATAGAAGTTTAACATAGTTTTTGAAAATGTAAATTTTTGAAAATGTAAATTTTAATTGTTAAAATTGGATTGGGTGCTCTCACACTGGCTCTCAAACTGCTCTCACTTATGTTTTTAATTATTTTATAATAGATCCTCAAGTTTAGTTTTATCATTTTAATCATTTTAGCCTTGCTTTTCAATCATACCAATAATTATTTATAGTTAGAGAATAAAAAGGCAATGTTGTGTTTTAGAATACAAAGACGTTTTTAAAATATAATAGACGACTTCTTTTGTAATTAAGATGCAACAAGTGCAAAATTAATTAAGCTAGCTAGCTAACCTGCCAAAATTGGAGTTTAGAGTAGTTGACAAAATAATAATCCTTAGCAAACGGAGACTTGTACTTGTCCGAAGGGTACAATGGCTCAATTTCACGGACGAAGCAGCCCTGCGCCACCAGTAAGCGGCGGTGCTCTTCCGGGACATCCGGCCAAACCGCCACTACAACCGGGTAAGCCGTGCCTACTTTTCTCAGTCCCTTCACCAACCCGACCACGCCTTTCACGTAGTCGCCATCTCCGGCGAGAAACGTCACGTATGCCCGCCCCGCCGTGGGCCTGGCCGACACTACGCCGCCGTTGCTTGCATCAGGAGCCATTTTTTATGATTTATTGAAGGACTTAATTAAAATTAAATTTCTTTGATCTGAGGGAACTCGTAATATTTTAGAACTGCATTTGAGGGTAATTTGCATGAAAATTGGGGTGCATGACATGCTACATTTGTAGGGTTGCCAATGACCAACAGTACGATGTCGTTTCTGTGATCTCCAGCGACAAGTCACCAAGCTGGCCGTTGGGGCGCTACTCTACTGCTGCCACGTTTCAAGCCGGGTCGTCATCAATTAAAACAGCATTCGACCATATGGAGACTTAAACTTTTTTGCCACGTGGCGTAACCTAGTGATCTTGAGTGTCATATACTCGTACAAAGTTTTATCCAAAACTAGCACTAGAATATGGGCGAACATATGAAAATGTTAAAGAGTGTAATGAAAATGAGTTTGTACTGTCAGATTGTATAACGTGAAAGAGAAAATTACCACTCTTAAAATTAAAAGAACTTGTTTTTCCTCATATATGACTTAATAATGTTTCATTCCCAATATGATACTTGCATAAGTCATGCACATCCACCCATGGGTTTTATTAATTTTAATTCCATTAGTGCCCCTAAATAATGAATGAGCAGTTATTTGCTCCTACAATTAAGGAAAGTATTAATTACTTTGCACAGATTGCATGAAAACCGCATATTAGCATATTAATTGATCGGATCAATTGATAACCGTTTAAGAGATGTAATTGACTAATTGGCATATAGTTGGACTTAAAAAAATACCTCCGTCCCTTTTTAATTAGTTTGTCAGCTTTGACTTTTCCAATCAAATAACGGATATATTGACCAAGCCGTTAGCTCACTCACAATGAGCTTAAAGTTGTTTCTATACGATAATATGTTTGGGAATAATGGCTTACCCTATTGGGTGCCTTATCCTTGTATTTATAATAAAATAGAGTTATGAAGAATTACAAAATAAACCCTAATTAGTAATTATTACATTATTACACCCCCTCAATTTGTGCAGGGGAAATCAGGGGAAATTGGAACGTAAAAATTCAAAACGCTGACTAGATAAATTCTTAGTGAAGATATCAACTAACTGTAACTGTGTTGGAATATGCTTCACCACAAGATCTCCATGTGCTACTCTCTCACGAACAAAATGATAATCAATTTTAATGTGCTTACTCCAAGCATGCATAAACTGAGACACAAGGTGTACAGCATAAGTAATATCAGGTCTAGTAATAGTTAAATACTGAAGAGCACCTACCATACTACGATACTCGGTAACATCAGATAACAGTTCCCCATCTGTGAGAGAGAGTGTAGTGCGTGAAGGTAGAGGGGTACGGACAGGTTTGACAGTGTGAAGATGAAAACAACGTAACAGATCAGATATATATTTTGCCTGAGACAAAAATAAACCTGTAGGTGTACGTTTGGCCTGAGCACCCAAAAAATAATGGATATCCCCTAAATCCTTCATGGCAAACTGCTAAGATAAGGTATGTATGACAGAGGAAACAAATGAAGCAGAAGAGCCTATAATAATAATATCATCCACATATAAAAGAATATAGACCACCTGAGAAGCAGTACGATAAACAAACATGGATGAATCAGACCTGCCCTGTGAAAAACCACGACTCAACAAGAAACCACTGAACCGATGAAACCAAGCCCGAGGAGCCTCTTTCAACCCATAAAGAGCCTTACGAAGGCGACAAACATGAGTAGGATAGGAAGGATGAATAAAACCCTGAGGTTGGCGCATGTAAACCTCCTCAGTCAAAACACCATGCAAAAAAACATTTTTCACATCTAATTGACGAACAGACCAGCCCAAAGAAATAGCAATAGATAAAACAAGACGAACAGTGGTAGGCTTAACAACAAGACTAAATGTTTCAGTAAAATCAACATCAGCCTGTTGTTTAAAACCTTGAGCAACAAGGCGAGCTTTATGCCGCTCAACCGACCCATCAGAACAATATTTTGTCTTATAAATCCACTTACAACCGACCACATTTTTAGTAGGGTCCCAAGGTACCAAATCTCAAGTCTTATTATTAATCAAAGCATTAAACTCATCCGCCATGGCAGCCCGCCAAACCAAACTCTTATTTTCCTGTGTAAAACAAGTAGGATCATCCGGGGGAGATAAAGTACTTAACGTGAAAATGTGTTTTGGTTTGAAAATACCATCCTTTGCGCGTGTACGCATCGGATGGACATTTGCCGGGACAGGTAAGGACGGTGTGGCAGAACCCGAGGTCTGGGAGATAAGAGGACCATGGCTACTGGTTTGGGACGAGGGAGAAGGGCTGGCTGAGAAAGGTTGCGGGCTGGCAGTAAGGTCCTGGGAGAAGGAATTGGTTGAAGGAGTGATATGCAAGGAAGATGTGTTACTGGGAGTATGTGGTGGGGAGGTTTCCGTAGAAGAGCTGTTGTGGGAGATTGGGCAGGAGCTGCAGATCATGAGGAGGGAAGGGTGGATGTCTGGGAAGATGGTGAAGCAACTAAGGAACTATAAGCTAAGGGAAACTATTTTCTTGAAAAATGACATCCCGACTAACATAAACCCGGCCTGTGGAGGGAGATAGGCAGCGATACCCTTTATATATCCCGGAGCATACCCATGAAAAACACAGTGCGTAGAACGTGGTGAGAGCTTATTGTGTGAGGCAGCTATAAAATTTGGGAAACAAGAGCAACCAAAGACACGCATAAAATTATAATCAGGCACTTTATTAAACAGTTTTTGATATGGAGAAACTCCATGTAAAATAGGGGTAGGTAAACGATTAACAATAAAAGTGGCGGTGTAGAGAGCATCTACCCAAAAATGATTAGGAATAGAAGCGTCAATTAATAAAGTCCTAGTTAATTCGAGTAAATATTTATGTTTACGTTCAGCTACCCCATTTTGAGCAGGAGTATGAGGACAAGATTTTCTAAATAAAATGTCTGAATTTAAAAAATGCGTGTTAAATAGAGAATTATCAAATTCACCCCCTCCATCACTTTGAAAATTTTTAATTTTGGCATTCAATAGATTTTCAACCAGTTTTTGGAAATTAATAAAATGTGTAAAAACTTCAGATTTCCTACGCATGGGATAAACCCATGTAAATATAGAGAAATCATCAATAAATGACACATAATATTTAAAACCCGGATTAGAAACAACTGGAGACTGCCAAACATCAGAATGAATAATTTCTAAATGTGCAGAGGTATCACGAATAGCATCAGAAAACGGAAGTCTGTGGGATTTACCCAACTTACAAGAAACACAATCATGAGTAAAATTAGAAGAACTACTAGTTAATTTATTTTGCCTAAGAGTA